CCAAATGTGTGTGTGTTTGTTTTTAAAGCAGAATAACATGCTTTAAAACACAGTGGTTCTTAAGTCATCATGCTGTGTCAGCACATCCAGACCTTTAGAAAAGGTGCTTTTTCAACAGCAGGTTTGAACAGAAAGCAAAAGACACTTGTTAAATTTATTAAGTGTAGGATTAGAACTGATTAAAGTGGACTTTGCAGTGGAAATTTACCAGACCTAACAGCCTGTGCATCTCCTTCAGGCCATAACCACTGCAAGGGCTAGTACTGTTTTTCCAAAACAATCCAGCAACCAAACATCCTGTAGAGTTGCTACATTCTGCCTATGCAGTCAGTGCTTATGAAAGACAGGTGCATACCTGCACTTTTAGATATGGCAATGCGCCACTGCCCTCTGTGGTATCGATACCCATGAATAATCACCCACAGCTGCACAGCACAGCAGCAGCTCCAGACATCAGCACTGAGAGGACAAAGGTACAACAAAGTGGAGAGGGAAGACACTCCCATGATTAAATGTCGCAGATTTTCCTTCCAATTTGATCAATATGGAGAAACAGACCATATTTTCATCTTTTCTCACAGAAGTTGCTGGCTCCCATGAAAACACCAGCCACAAGCCTATGAAGATGTAAAGCTTTAAAACGAGGCAGAAACGTAAAGTTTCAGATTTTAAAACATGTTACATAATTTCCTAAAGCACCCTGGAACTGCAGTTTTTAGCAAACATTACTCAAAAGTGCATTTATTTGGGACTATTTACAACTGTGGACTGATAAACATTGGTGCTCGGTGCCAGTGACCCTTGAAAGCCAAACAATGTCTACTCAAGATCCCACATCACCAGATGCATAGGCCTTTGAGCAGTTTCATTTAGCTACAGAGATAAAATGCTTCATTGTAACACAAGAAGAAAAGCAACGTATTGAGAAAATTTAGAAAAATTAAGAATTTGTGATACAGAGATGTGCTTTTTTTTCTTCTTACCTAACTTATGTCAGGACTTCTCAGATTTGTCTTGTGAGCCCTTAATGTCCTTTGGTAACCACTGTATTTATGGCACTAGACAATGGATGTGGGTTTCACTCAAAATAAATTAAGTGATATGTCATTCACTGAAACACTGTGGCTCACTGATGAGTTTTTAATAAATGCAGGTCTGTGGCACAGAAAAATAGGATATCCTTTAATGTCTCCACTGGAAACAATCCAGGTTCCTAACAGTGTTACATCTATAAAATGAAGACTTTGTATAAGCATTGAAGATGATGAGATGCTCATCTGGAGCTCAGTGGTCTTGGTGAACTGAGCTCCCTCTATGTTTCACTCACTGTATCTCAGCAGCAGGAAGTCTTCCACTTTGAGAGGCCCCAGTTGAGTGCAGCGGCTGCGTGCCAGGATGTGGTGCATGGCTGGCTGAGTTTGGAGCCTTGGTGCTAGGTGACGGCTTGTTGAAAATCCCAGTCCTGAATAAACGGCCTGGATTATACACAGGGCAGGTCAGCAACTAAGACAGACGAACAGGCTGAAGAGCTCATTGCTGATGCCCGTTGTTCTTCAAGAGAGAAATACGGCTTAATATATGAAACACAGTGCAGCCTTAAGCTCTGGAATTTTTCCAGTTTACTTCACCCTGTATTTAGTCAATTATTTACTACAACAAACCTGAATCCTACTTTCAAAACTCTGCCTTCTAAGTGAAGCAAGATCAAAGCCTCAGAAAAGTGTCTTCACTGGATTCTCATTGCATTGATCTACACGCAGTTCAATTCAGAAGCATGTGAATTATTCATGCAGGAGGAACATGCCCAGGAGGCCCAGACACCGTTCTGGTTCAATATATGTCCTGTATCACCCATATTCTGATCCAGCAGGATAGTTGTTGGGCTTCTACTCAGTGATGGAATAAACAACCAATTAGGAGAGGCCAGGGCAGTGACCCGAGCAGAGCAGAGCTTGTAGCTGATATGTCCTTTACCACTAATGTGCATCTAAACCACTGCAGTAAGTATCACATGTTTAAAAAAAAAAAAACTGCAATCGTTTTGAAAACTGCTACAGCTCCAATCCACAGACAGTAAATTCATGTGTACTGTGCTCATGTGTTCTATGATCTTTGAACTCGACTATCCTCGTCTTTAGCTATACAGCTCTTATATTACTAAAAGTATAAGTGAGGTATTTTAGTCCCTATCTGTCAGTGCAGTAATTTGTACAGTGGATAAAACTGTCTGCAGTATCTCTGTACCATAACATGTAAATTTTAAACAAATGTGCACTTTTCCTTCTTGGCCACATGAAAATTGTTGTCATAGGCACCTAGACACAGTTTGTCTTCTTAATTAGCATACAGGGTTTTGCCTGTACTGACAAAAATGTTCATTGGTGTCAGGCAGCCTTTCAGCACTATTGCATGCTAATGGCAATTACTGGTAGAGACCCTGGAGTGACAGAATTCACAGTGACGTGAAATGAAAAGACAGTGTGGATGAGACAATGCCACTGGTCTTACCCATCTTCCTTTGCATGATGGTTTGTTAGTGTGACATGTATGTAACCTCACAGCCCAGACACTGTTTCACTAAGTGGACCTTCATATAAGATGACAGTCTGGTTACTGAGGCTAGGCCGTGGACCGCTGAACATGCACTGTATGTTTGTGTGTGAGAGACAAACATGCACACTTTTACATACAGAACACAGCGGTGTTCAGAGAAGTTAGAGTAAATAAAAAAAATCTGGACTAAATTGCATAAAGAGCATTCCCAGCTGTTCTCTACCAAAACATAGAGAGCAGCTGATTTAGAAAAATAACTGGTCATCTTTGTAGAAAATAAATTAAGGCTGTGTCGTGCAGACATTCAGTGGAAAACTAATCTTACTAGCTTCCTAAATTTCTAAAGGAACACTGAGTCTCTTCATGGGAACATATTTGCAAATAAGGGCTCTATTCTTTTACATCTGTTGTACAATCTTGGCAAATATTTTCCCATTATACTGGTGCCTTTTCATGTATTCAAGCACCCTTCTGAAGTAACTTTACAGTACAACTTCATAAGGGACTGTGTTACTAAAAACAATGTATGACAAGTCACGTCCTTTTGCCTCAGGCTCAGAAAATAGCCTCTTGATCAGAAGGAGGCATTCTGTAAAATGTCAGAAAGTAAACAACCACGCACTTCACAGTCTTGAAAGCAAGTGGCTGCATCAGAAATGGACTGGCTGGCCATCCATCTCTTTGTGTGTGTCCACCCTTATAAAGCTTTAATAAAACACCAGGGTGTTGTGAGAGTGGGTGGTTGGGGGAGTTCTCCCTCAAGAATGAGGATGCCTTCTAAGCAGTCTGCGTGACACAGAGAGGAGAGGGGTGGAGGGGGCTGTAGACGGGAGGAATGATCGGCGAAGGAACAGCTGAACACAAAAAGAAGAACACAGAACCAAAGAGGCATGGCAGGCCGGGGCTCAGGGGTTGAATGCTGAAACGTGTTTGTAGTAAAGAGGATTTAGACTGGGAGACAGAAAGAAAACAAGTGGGCAGTGAACTCAGCGGTGATGCAATTACTGAGCTCAGACCAGAGAAAGAAAGAGAGAGGCAGGGAAAGCTATTGATTAGCCTACAGCGATTATTGGCCAATAAAAATAGCTATGCATGTGTCTTTTTCCACAGCTCTTCACATGTAAAAACACTACAACGAACATGTCTGACACCAACACTTGTGAAAGTCATAGAAGAAAAATGTAAATATAACATCTACACTGCCTCTAAATGTATACATAATCAATAAATAGTATAGAAATCCTGTCCTTTGACACTTTATCAGCAATACCACAGCCTCTATTTGGAGGCATAAACCACATTTTAAGTGTGAATGTGCTCAGTAAAATAACTGGAAGTGTTTTGCTAAATAAAGAGCCCCCATTTTTCCCAAAAGGGATCCAAATTTTAGACGAGCTTTGGGAGTTTTTGGCTGCTGTCCCAGCTACCGCTATTCATCTTCTCAAGCAGAAATGCACAAAAAAGGAAGTAGGGAATGACTGGACAGGATATCCAGTTTCCCAGAAGCATGGGGGAGCACACATTCTGTGTCACTGAGTCAGTGCGCTCACAGGAAAGTCAGCATTCGTCATAGCCAACCTAACCAAGCAGACAGAGGCATGTTAAAATGCCTCTCTGGTTGAATCATGATGGCAAACAGAAGCAAGTGGTTGCTTGGCATGTCTCCAGCCAAGCCGGCTGGCAGACACATGGTTGGTCCCTGGACGCTGCAGTGAGTCCTCAAGGAAATGTGATTAATCTGACTAAAGAATAACAATTGGTGGAGAATGGGCCAATGACTTTCCCCAGATGTATGTGAGAACCAGGTTTAGCTCAGTTCACGTCTTTTGTGTTACCAAAATGCTGAGCAACTATGAAATCCTTCATGTGAAATATGTATAAACCTATCACCATGTTGTCTGTCGACTCTCCGCTATAGGCCTATGTGACACTGATGACACACACAAGACAAAAAAAGTCACACTACTAAGTTAGAGTCACAAAATGATGGGTACGTCACATGAAAACAGCTTCCCCATCCTGCCAATCAGGTCATATCTGAGAGTTGACCAATTTGGCACTACATTAGAACATGTTCTTGGCTTATAGCATAAGCTGCAAGTAGGAAATAATCTAATGTGGGTATGGCGTGACACTGTACTTATTTTCACTTTGGTCTTATTTCCCACTGCTTCAGGCCCCACAGCTTCTGGTTAGGTAATACTGACATAACAGAAAAGGGGGCCCACAGAAACAGTCTTCATGGCTTGTAATCTCTTACTACTTCCCTGCAAATGCATAACAGGCTATATCACAAATATACCAGGATCCTGGCAAAAAAGAAAGACTACATTACTATAATGCATATATATATAGTTATAGCTACGTTTTAAATTGCCAGCTCAGTGGAGTAACCATCAACAGGCTCTTGCTTTCACATCAGTGGCCTCGGGTGTTAAGTCACTCACTTTTTCTTGTACTCATCCCTCTCCCGCTTGACTTTGGCCAGCACGTTATACAGAGCCCTCAATTCTGGGGTGATGGTGTCTATTTGGACCCCAACTCCGTCTGGATGCGTCCAGGTCACCCCCGGCCCATGCAGGGTCTCAAAGCGCTCCCCATGCCTCCGGACGTGGGTGAAGCTCCAGATGGTGCCCGGCAGTCGCGACTCCGGACCGTCTGTCTGCACGGCAACTTCACGGGTGTAAAGGTAGTGGAATTGCGGTCTCTGCAGAGCTTGCTGTAGTTGGCTCTCCAGCAGTTTGTTTCTCCTCTCCAGTTCATGGACTTTAGCAAGGAAGCAGCGGAATCGCATATTGAGGGTTTTCAGCACATGGATGTTGGAGCCCAGGTCATTTCGCAGGGCGCTGGTCACCGCGCCCGAGCCGGTGGGCGCGTTGCTGACCGGACCGGGCGGAGTATCGGAGAAAAACAGCGAGTTCATGCTGGTAAACATCAACACTTGGTAATCCAACTATGGCTCTATCTGCGTTCGGATGCAACAACATAAACCTTTCTTTATCTCTGCATATTCATTCACAGTCCCACTCCCCCGGTTTCTCCTCACAATGCAGATGCTGAGCGCGACTGAGAGGCTGAAGACAGGGTGACCATCACTGTCCCTGCTGGATGTTTACCCCAAGATACTAACACAGACCCCTGTAGCATGGGTGTTCACAATCACTGAAACCCCGACAGTCCTTTGAGTGGCACCGAGGACATCATCTTCTGAAGTAATGAAAGGTTTGACGCAGACCGCAATAGGCAGCAGCATTCGTTCCCGTCACCCTCATCTCCCCGTTTGTCTTTGCGTTGTCAGGACCTGCTGATGCTCTGCGGGTTCATATAGCCGGCCGACAGCGGAAAATAATCCACCTTCTTTCCCAGTCATTCCCCTTTTATTGTGGCTTTATTCATTCTCCATGTGGGGCGGTGGGACGGCAGGATGCAGGACCGCAGAGCCCGGCCTCTCCTTGGTGTGCACGGATCATGTTGCAAAGTGCTAAACTAGGCACTATCACCTACATCGGCCCCTCCCACATCCCTCCTTCTCTCACACCCAGAGACGGCAATGACAGGGCTCAGTATTGACTGAAGTCACAGACACAAGGCCAATAAACAGGACTGGATTAATAGATAACAATTCCCCTTCATTTCATTGATGTTTTACGCATTAATGTATGGATAATTAAACTGATGAATCGTTGGTCAGAATAAGAAAGGCATCAGTGACAAACTTTAATCACAGCTAAAAGTCTATAGCATAATTTTAATGACTATTCAGTGTAGTATATATGCTGTTTTTCTATAGGCTATGTTGTGCGCTCACAAACCTTCAGAGACAAATACAAACTATATATAGACCTACATGCATTAAAACACACAAAGCGCATTTCTGTGGACAAGGCACTGTAAAGTAGCCTGTAGGCTAAAGCTTACTAATTTCAATTAAGTGTTTTTTTTTTATTTTTTTCTTATTTGCTCAACCTACGGACCATGAGCCCATTGTGCACATGGTTATGCAGCTTTGTAATATTAATTAGACATGTATATTTAGAATCAAAATTCAAAAACGGACTCATACACTTGGAGACGGATAAGGGCCGCATATAAGCTCCAATAATAGCCTGGATCTTTGAGCAATTTGTAAATTTGGGTCTGACTGTAGGGTCATGTAGACCTACTTGCATGCTTTTGCTTTGGTTCAAGGGCCACAAAGAGGGTTAATCCGTTCGCAGAACCCTAATCCCTATGGCAGACACAGATATAGAATGAATTTATAGAGGCACGGTATGGAAAATGTCGTTTTTAATTAAATAATTCACTAAAATAGCTAGCTAAAATGCCCGATGACAGTATGCTGCTTAAACATATGGGCCCCAAATCAAATAATCTTAATTTATCTGTTTTTTAAAATAAAATTGTAACTCATTATTGCAATTTTGTAGGGCCCTAGTCTGTAATAGTCTGTCAAAAACATGTTATTTGATTTTGTCCGATTTATGAGTAACATTAGAAATAACACTAGCTGAGCTAACACGACTCTCAACTTATGTAAACATTTATTTAGGAGCAGCAACATATTAACAATGCCAATGAATTACAAGTATTTTTAATGAAAAGTCTTTTCCCCCTTTTTTTATTTTTAGTCAGGCACTACACAGTCAGCTTCACCAAACCAAACATTTGGGGTCCTTTTACTTCACGTGTGCGACTGTTGCTGTAGCATCGTGAGAGGTGACCATGCCGAAATCAAAGAGGGATAAGAAAAGTAAGCAGATAAACGTTCAAATTATATCACGTACGAATACATTAAGTGGTTAAACATGGTAACTTGTTTGTACTTGAGCGCTGTACGTGAAAACTTAAAATTGAGGGAACAAGCCAACTTTAGCTTATCATTCCGAGGGAAACGGCACTTAACATAAGCATAGAGCCATAAGCATAAACTTTATTGCCAAGTATTATTAAAAATACAAGGAATTTGACAAATAACGTCACTACGGTGAAGCGTCCGATTTGTAGGTTTCATAAATATCGAAATGAGTTTCAGACCATAATTAGCTTCTCTGGGATAATGTGGTATGTTAAATATTTGACAGTTGTAGAGTTGATCTAATGTTATCTGACCTGAGAAAATGCAGTGAAATTCCCTTTTTGCGTAAATAAAGGTTGAGCAAATTTGTGCAGTGGACTTTAAACCGCTTCAAGGCTTTAACTTGGATGTCTAACGCTAAGAATTGGGCACATATTGTCATTTTACTTTGCCCCTATCACGATGGTAACAGCTACTGCTGACTGATTTCAGTGAAGCTTAACGTTTTAGCAGACTGACAGCTTTTAAATGATCTTTCCTTTAGTTTCTTTAACGAAAACCGCCAAGAAAGGACTGGAGTTAAAACAGAAATTAATCGAGGAGGTGAGTGTCTTATACTCTGGTCTCATGTCAGCTATACAGTATATTTGCTGTGCTAACCTGTGTTAGCTGAAGCTATTGACATGGTTAAAATTAAATCCTCAACTTGTTTGTCTTTTTAGTTACGGAAATGTGTGGACACCTACAGAAACCTGTTTGTATTCTCTGTGGCCAATATGAGGAACAACAAACTGAAAGACATCAGGACAGCGTGGAAACACAGCAGGTATGGTACCTTAACCAGCCTGTTGGTTTGACAGGCTGGTAATCTAGAGTTGTGTCAAAGACCACTTCAGTTTTGCTGAACACTGGTTGAGTTCAGAGAATTTAGAGGAGCACTCTGCCACTTTTGCACTTGAAGGTCAGTTTACTCATCATACTTGTGAAAACATAAAAGTTACTCTGGAGGGAGTGAGGTAGTCTTGGACACTACAAATTTATATCAGACTGCTTGTGTTAATAATTTAGGACAGAGTTTGAAAACTATGGCCATTTACTAGTCAGGAGGATCTAATTTAAAATGTTCTCAAGTTGCATCATGGGAATTATAGGTAGCTTGACCTAAATTAGGGACTAAATGTCACGTCTTGGTCTCTTGTACTTCAGTTTTGACAGTTTCTTATATGTTTTCCACTTCATTCAGTTTTAAAAAAGTTACCACTGGAATACCCCTTTAACAGATGTCACAAGAAACTGTTTAACTACTTTTCTCTGTTCCACAGATTCTTCTTTGGCAAAAATAAAGTCATGACGGTTGCCTTGGGTAAAGGAGAAACAGATGAATACAAAGATAATTTGCACAAGGTAGATGAGATCCTAAAGAGTGGTGTGAAGATAAAAAAATATAACCACAGTAATCTGTTGCACATATTTTAAATCTCTTTATTGACTTTGATGACTTTGACTTTGATCATATGCAGGTCAGCAAATGTTTACGAGGAGAAGTGGGCATACTATTCACAAATAAAACAAAGGATGAGGTCCAAGAGTAAGTAAAGCTTCACTGCCTAGACCATGGCTGCAGTCATACATCCATACATTTTCTAAATGATGTTCTCTCTTGATAGGTATTTCAGTCATTTCAAAGAAATGGACTATGCACGGGCAGGCAACCAAGCACAGATGGACATAACCCTGGATGAGGGACCCCTGGAACAGTTTACTCACTCAATGGAGCCTCAGTTGAGGCAGTTGGGACTTCCCACTGCTCTCAAGAAAGGCAAGATTAAAGATGTTTGAATGCAAAGATGAAAAATGGCCGTTGTCTCTTTAATAGTTGGATATAATGGTCAACATTTTTTCTACTGTTATCTTAGGAGTGGTAACACTGCTGAAGGACCATGAAGTGTGTAAGGAGGGAGATGTGCTGACTCCTGAGCAGGCTCGTATTTTGGTGAGTTCTTGAATGTTTCTCTTCCAGAAATGTTGACTGTGACACAGTACTTTGGTGTATGTGATTGACTGGTCAAATTGGCCCTGTGTTGTTTACAGAAACTCTTTGGTATTGAGATGGCAGAATTCAAGCTGCAGATCAAATGCATGTGGAATTCAGAAACGGGTGAATTTGAGAACATTGCTGGTGAGGAAGAGTCTATGCAGGATGATGAAGATGATGATGATGCAGAATGAAATCTCTGCTAGGACTTGTACACATCTGTTTTAAAAGTCTTTCTTTGTTAACCTTCAACACCAGAGGGACATGGATGATGAATCCATTCATTCTGGCTGCCTGTGCTGCCCCTGGAGTCTGTAATCTCTGTCCTTTGTTTAACTAAAATGATGAATTGGCTTTGGATGAAAATGTTAACAGCTGTGACTGGAGTCAAGTCAATGTTGACTCAATTTGTTCTGTCAACAAACCAACCCACTTGATGCATTTTATGTGTTTTATTTTTATTGTCAAAGTTTAATAAGGCAGATTACAGAAAAGGTCTTTTCATGAAAAAAAATCTTGCTTTTTTTTTTTTTTACATTTTTACATTTATACATTAACAATGATATGCTCTTACACATTAACACATACCAGTTTCCATTTGACCTACTGAAAAGAAAATTATGAATTCCATGTGTGATTTCAGGTAAATTTATAAGTATGCAACTATGGGGGTATAAGTATGTAACTATGGGGTTAGCAGATCTATTTTCGGTAACAGCTTGAATAATATTTGATCATTATGGGGGGAGGGTCCTCATCGAAAATAGTTGGGACACTCGTGGGCAACAAAGTTCCAGGCTTCAGTGAAGGCGGCCACCACTCTCTCATCCAGAGGACCCTCCTCTGCAGCTGCCAAGTTCTCCTGAAGCTGTGTCACGCTTGACATGCCAATGATGACTCCATCTCCCAGATCACCCTGTAACCGCAGATGATGCAGTAGTTAGAGAAAAATACCGACGTCAAATCACAACATGGTTTAGATGAGGACACATTAAATGGAATCACCTTTGGCCCTGCAGCATTGAGGTAAACAACTGACTAGACACTTTCAGATGGTGAAAGGTCTTGGACTTCAACAGTAGTTAATGATCAGCTATAATACTTACATTGTGAAAAAAGGTGATAATGAACTCTCAAATGGGGGCTTTGTACAGCTGAGCATGTGCAAATAATTCAGTAGTTTCATTTAGAGGGCCAATGATCCTAAAATTATGCCACTAATTATAGGCCAATACAAAAATTTGTAACAACAGAAATGGACAGTCTTACAAAGGATGGCGTTCAGGATGCATCATCATGTAATGTATTACTATTATTATAGTACTGACAAAAATGTGTTTCAAGTATTAAAAAATACAATACTGCATGATAAATTCACATCCAATTAGTTAAAGTCAATGTTGGCAATAGGCTTTTGAAATTCTACCTTGGTTTATCAGTCTGATTTATGGGGCCAGGGCAGGACCAGTCAGTGTACAGTAAATATATTAAAACAAAATATTGTGCAGGATAATACTGTACCTACCGATCTCATGTATTGTTATCTTCTCCAAATTAACAACTCATAACACAATCTCGTCACTGCCTGCATCCATGAACAGTGAACAACTGATACCTTGAGTTGAGAGTGGTGGTACATCCAGCGTATAGCTGCAGAAGTCAGGGTTGGTTTTTCTGAGCCGTACACCGACTCTAAGGCCTTCAGAACCACATCTATGCCCTGGAAATGACTTTGCTTCCAGTATCTTACACAAAAGAAGACAGTCATGGTTACCTTGTGTGCTTTATCAACAGACAAATGTGTGTAACTGCAGACATCCCCTAACATGCAACTGTTTAAACATACTTTTTCTTGGGAAAGCGTCAAATGCAAACGGCAGGTATTTTACCTGTCCCTGTATGTTGCAGCCCAGTTGTTACCAAAGAATCGTCCTTCAGGTTGGGATCCCTCTTTGTCTTTGTAATGATACTTCCCAGTCAGAAGGCCACCTGCCAGAGGTACAGTAACATTAGTATTCAAACACAGCTCATCTAAGGTTCTACTGTTTATGTTCTCAATGGTGTCACTCGCTAAAAATGAAGGATTTTCATGCTTCATTTTCAGATAAAGCTGTAGTTAATGTCAAAGCAATATGAGGGGTCTATAGCCATGCTAGCGGCTCTGTGAGGCTGTCCTTAAGCACTGTATTTACATTGGCACAGTTTTGCTTCATGCAGCAGAAAATGTTAATGTCAGTATGCTAACATGTTGATGTTTAGCAGGGGTAATGTTAACCACCTTTCACTACTTGTTTGGTGTGTTAGCATGCTAACATTTGCTAATTAGTACAAACACAAAGTACAGTTATGTTACTACGGTATACATTTTCAAATACCTAGCCATAAACTAGAATACTGAACAAATTCATAGTGTAACCAGATTATGACACTGGATGAAAATGTAAAGTCCTGAGAGGAACATGAATGTGTGCATAAAAACTTTTTATTATAATCCATCTAGTAGCTATTCATACACAGCATAAATGTAAACCTTCATTTTGGATCACCAAAATCATTAGGATTTATCCTGTGAAACCCATGAATTTCTGTGCAAAATTTCATGGCACTCATAGCAGTCCTTGAGATATTTCATTCTGCATTAAAGTGGTGGGCCAAAAGAACAACACTGCCACTCCTGAAGCTGTGTGCTAGCATGGCTAAAAAAGGACAAATAGGGTATGACGTGACATGCCACAGTTTGACAAGTGTTAAAACATCCCTGCAGTGTCAAACATTGATCACTAATTGTGTGTCTCTCCCTGTGAATGCACCATAGAAGAGACATACCTGCTAGAGGATTATATGCATAGAATCTCATCCCATAGTATCTCAGACATGGTAGCAACTCGGTCTCAACCTGTCTTGTAGTGGCATTGTACATCCCCTGTGAAATGTAACAGTCTGAGTTAGGAGTGTAAATAACAAAGAGATCAAGTGAACATATACTGTGAAGGATGCTGGATGTACTTGCACAATAGTATTTTCTTTTCAGGCAACACATTTCCAGCCCAGCTATGAGCATAGTAACATGATACTTCCCTCCATCATATGGAGGGAAGCAACACGGACAGGTATGGAGCGGCTTATTTATTCCCAGAGGATGACATCTGACTGGGAATTGAACTACTGGACTGTTTTACAAAGTGCCAGAATACCTGATAAACAGTAGGAGCAATCCAATTGTTGTGTCTGCAGATGCACACAATTTCAGCAACTTCCCATGATGCATAGTTTGACAGGCCAAACTCGATGAATTTTCCCTGTGGGTGATATTTTAACAGGCACACAATATTTTAAGGAAATACTGTCAAATAATCAGACACTATCAGTATCATGCCTTAAAGGAAAGATTTTCTGGAGTTTTAACTTATAGAAAAAGACGTCTCTGGTCTCTCAACCTCTTTGTGCAGGTCATTGCAAGCCTTAAGAGTATCCTGGATGGGAGTTTGGTGGTCAGGGGCATGGAGGTAGAAAAGGTCCACACAATCAGTTCGCAGGTTCTGAAGGGAGGTTTCCAGCTGGGAGCGCACACTCTCTGGCTTCAGTGTCTTCCCATTCCAGGGGTTGGCCTTGGTAGCTATTCTTACTGTCACACAGAAACAATGAATTTCAGGTGTGGCAATTCAAAGTTTGGTGCAGAAAACAGAACAGAGAACTGAAATCTGGGTTTCTTTCTTGCATACACAAATGTGTCATCAGAACACTGCAACAATTAGAAGTGCAATACAACTGCACACAACTTCAGCAACTTCCCATGATGCATAGTTTGACAGGCCAAATGGGGGGGGGGGGGGTTCCTACCCATAAATCCAAGCGAGTGCCAGGTGGCAATAAGCAGGTAACGTTAGGTTGGAGAGCCAGATTCATTGGTTCGCTTATGAGAAGTTAAGAGATGATATGATTTCTAGTACCTGTTTTAGGAAGGTTCATGTCTCCTATGACCGTCTCTGACTTCCCATCCACGTACATGAGAGCTGTGTCCACCTGGTTGTGTCCCCTGTCCAAGAAAGTCTTCACCATCTCCAGACTCTGTTTGGCATCAGCTCGGCCACCGAACGCCATAGTTCCCAACACGGACACCGGACACTTAGCGCCAGACGACGACATGTTTCGACGAGCCGCAAACGTCTGCAAATGTGTGAGCACGTCCTTGATAATGTGACTCTGTCGGAGCGTGCACACGCCTCTTGCTAAAGGCAACTGCATGTTATTATACAGCAGCGAGCAATACGACAAAGGTTAAAGGTCGAGCTGGAAGTGGTTTTAGGGAGTGTCGTAAAGTTCCTTCCTCGGTTTAAAACGGAGCATGTAGTGCAATAGGCTATAACTGGCTTCTTGACTTATTTGCTTGGCTGCAGTTGAGTTAGTGCAAAGTTCGTTTTCTGTGACTGTTTATTGACGGTTTAGACATGAAAGTTAATATTTGATCAAGTATCTTCGTTACATCATATGTAGGGCACTTGTCACGCTAGATGTGGCATGTAATTCTTATTTCTAAACACAAGGTGTCAGCA